GACTAATTATGGAGGATTATACTTGTCGTGTATATTTCAACCGAAGCGGCGACTCTGGCGTGGACATGAAATATCAGTCCGCTATCTCTTGTTTGCTGGCGCCTGTCACTTGCGAGAATGGGGTCCGCATGAAACCCTCATTATATATCTATGTCGGCGAAAGTTTGAAATCACTTGTACAGTACCGCAGCCCATGTTGACGTTACCATAGCTACGCCAACGGTTCCTTGTACGACAAAATTTTTTTTTTCGGCGGCCTTGCCTATTTTGCGTACGGCTACCGACTATACAAATCTCAAAAGTGGGCAGTAAAGAACTTTACAATATACTTTTTTACCGATTGATATAGAAATTCATTTGATTCCAGCTAATTCAACTGAAACTAGGCAAAGATCAATGAAGTATATAGTACAAATTTCTTCAGCACGGCTAATTCAAGTTGTTCAATGTTATGAAGTACTTATTTACATCGCCACTGGTCTGCAAATTGAAATTTATAATCCGTTTTCTTATGGTCCCTTCCTTCACTCTCACTCAGATAGTCAGCGAGATTAGAACGCAACTGCGAATATGATACAATCTTTCTAAAGCGCTAACATTGGGCAGGACATAATTTCTGCACTTTTCTGGAAAACGCAAATAAAAACATGTCTAAGGCAATACTAGTCGCCAGCTTCACCGTTCTATGTTGCAGTACCCTTTTTACGTACGTCTCCATCATTTATACTCGGTATGGCTTGCTAATATTTTACTACATACAAGACTCTACAAAGACAACACTCAGTAAAAAAGATATCCTAACACGCAACAGTTTTAGTTTGGTATTATGTAATACGCAAAAAGATAATTGCGTGACGGGGATAGACAAGGTAAGTAATATGATGCATGTTGGCCTTCATTCTCTAGTTTTAAATGGTGAAGAAAATTAACCACATTTTCGCTCAAACGGGTAGATGCTGTAAAATTTAGAGCATCCTAACTGTCTGCCACACTAAAATAAATCAAACGTGGAGAGTGTACAGTATGAATGGGACTTAAATTGTTCACGTATATACCGCCATCTACAACATGAGTCAATTGGCAGTATGAGTAAATACTCAGTGAACGGTGTATAGGTGTGTGTGCGGGGGGCGGAGGGGGGGGGGGGCATAGAAGAAGATAAATCTGATTGCAATTGATTGGGAAACAAAAGGAAAACTTTTATTACAGCAAAGTAACAATACATGCGTCACACAGGCCGATTTTTGATTACATGCGATGTTCATGCGGATTCAAGTTGGATGGTCATTGTTTCGCCCCGCCGGCTATAATACTTAAATTACAAGTATGGTATAACATTTGCTCGCGAGAACGCAAACGTGCAGTGTCAAGCATCTTTTTTTATTATTATTTATAAATGACAAAATTTATATTTTAGTAGACTGTACGCTTCATTATGTTCGTTTTACGCACACCTTTTAAATGTCTCAGGGTGTTCGAAGAAAAAACAAATACCGTATTTATTCGAGTAATAGACTCAATACTTATCTACAAGACGCTTGCTTCATTTTTTCCTGCAACACCCACATACAGCCAATCATCGTGTTCTGCAAACAAAACAAAAAATATACATTGCGAGTAACAAGGTTATAAACACAATTCCCCATGAAATTGCGAGCTGTACAGATAGCATTTTCGCGTGAAGACGCTATCTTTGTTTGGTAAATTGTTGACGTCATTCTGACGATCGTGGTGATTGGCTATCCGCGTTTCGGGTAGCGACTTGCCTCGTACAGGAGGCCAACATCTCTCCCGGCTTTCCCTTTCCTTCCCTGGACCTCATAACAAGAAGAAGGAGAAGCCATCCGCGTTCTCCGCGAGAAAGCGGAACAAAGGCTCTGTACGTAAACAGTGCGTCCATTACTCGCGTCAATACGGTTGGTTTTAGTATTTTCTTTACTCTTTATTCAAGAAAGACCAGCAGCGCCTTGCAGGCGTTATTGCGGGAGAGGGGGGGGGGGGCACAAATTATTATAAGAATCATCAGCATTCACACGGTAGATCACTTCCGCCGGTAAAAAATTTCATTCTTAAATGGTCCTACTAAGACGGAATATTTAAGGATATTTATCCTGGAGAGACGCGGTCGAATCTAGCAGTAACGACCTATTCGTTATGACTGGTAATTAGGTGAACATAAAAACGGTGAAGCACGAACCCCTGTTTGGTTACGATAAATTGAATAGAACAACTTGAGTCAAAATTTTTTACGCCTTTCATTTCCAGGTATTCAGCCCCGTTTCCTTTTCATTTCAGGCTTGCTAAGGAAACGATCGTATCTCCTCAGGACAAAACGATCAGCGACAGATTGAATGCGTTCAAACGCGTTAATGCGAACTTGGTAAAACGGATCCCACACAGGGCACGCATATTCCAAAATTGGCCTGACATGTGCCATATAAGCTGCCTTTTAAGGTTTCAGTTGCATGTTTTAAATTACGCTGTAAAAACTAAGAGCCCTGCCTGGCCCTGCCAACCACGCTATCCACTGGGAACCTTATTTTTCACATATTTACCGAAGTCTACGAATGGCACTGAAACCTACCACCTATTTTTTCTCTAGCATTTTATTGCCGACGCTTGAAAGTGTTCAGGACGAATGACGTACCTTATTTTCCAAGTGTACGTGTAAGTCGGGAGTGGCCGACGGCGAATGTTTGAAAATGTCCAGTGAACGAGAGACATCGATCGAAGACGATCTGAACGCCTGCTGTTACGTCGTACAGAGTATCCGTTGGTCCTGACCTTGTTGTACTAGAGCTCACCTGCCGTGCTATGGTATTTGCCTAGACGTTTTATGCCGACCTACCACACACCGTCTTGTAGGAACAAGTTCGAAATAGCAGAAGAAAAAAACATTAGTCTCGATTTTGATTTAGGCACTGGTCGTTCTCAATAAATATCAGCTGCTTCTCGTTTGGAGTAGGTAAACAAACACACTTTGTGGCAACTGAGGGCATCGCGCGAAGCTTCTTCCCCATGAGAAACTTTAATGAGGTGGTTCTGTTTTTGAAAGCACTTATCCTGTAAGCGCGAAGAGTCTCGATGAAATGTCCAGATTTCTGCAGTCTATTCATTTTTATCACCACATCCACGGGTCTTCGTCTTTCAAGGTAATAAAGACTCGGGTTTACATACCGCGTGTTCTGCCCCTGTGGCAACTTTGAAAACTTAATGGCATGTCCTAGACGCATGTCACAACCTTATCAATCTCCTTGCAGTGAATTACTATAGTATATACTTCCGCTTCTGTAAAGATCCATAGGGTTGTAGAGCTCATTTCGCAAGTCAAGAGCCGGTGACGCTATTTAGAAAGTTGTACCACACGGCTATCAAGCCCCTCGTAAAATTTCGGGCCGTCTGTTCGTCTGTAGGGCGCTGTACTTCGAATTGAAATTTTGGGGCGTATTATATGGGACAAAGGGCGTAACGATACACACTTTTACACCTTTTTTTCTTGAGAGTGTATTAGCTAAAATGAAAGCTGCACATATCAACGGGTCTAGAAAACATTTTATTACCCGGGCAAAATATGACACCGCTAAATAATCGGTATGAAATGGCACGATGTAGGCGTATAAGAGGAAAACATTGAGTCACGCAATTATTGCTGTATGAATGCATATTTTACACAGAAATACGTCGACGAAATTCCGAGACACGCAGTGATTGGACACAGCAAAACTGATCACATTTAAAAAGCAGGTAGACGTAGTCAACGCGGACACGGCGAGACAAGTGCCACTTACGTTCATGTAAGCGATGTTATCGCGCGCAGCCAGTGAATTCTTGCATTATACCCCGGCCACGTGGCAAAAGTAACGTAATTTCGATCGAATGACATTATGGGGTCGACAAATCAGCTTGCGATGTTCGTATAATCACTCAAGACCGCGAGCTGCTTAAGTCCCATATCATTTATTGAAAATAGATTAACTTTTCCGTGTGGCAGAAGTAGCAAACTTACTATTTACAGTCAACTAATTTACTCCTCCTTATGGGCTCGAGCTGCCTTAGAACAAAATATAACTTATTTTGTATACAATATTAGTATTACCTTAATAAACTTAAGATTTTAGTATAAACGCGGTAAAGGCAATAAAATTAGTATAAATAAACACATAAGCACAAACAACGAATTTTGTATAATCACAAAAACTTGTTATTCACTTTCCAGTGAAGACTAGAATATTACCACGCATATTTACAAATATTGACGTCACCGTACACGGATAATAACGAACAAGATGCTATTCTATCACAAAAAAAAAAAAAAACGACTGCAGCACTTTGCTTGCGTCCCACATGACCAAGAAAGCCCGTAAATAAGTTGTTTCTCACCAGTCGATCGTATATATACGTCCCACAATAGCTGGCACGAAGGCATTTGAACATGAACTTTAAGTCTTTCTCTGTTGACAGAGAGGTCTATCGATAATCGACCAGTGTCATCGGTGGCTAGTTGCCACACATGTCCCTCAAACCGTAGCAGGACTTGTTCCGCGAATCCCCGTAAATGCCGTAGTATCAAGCAAACACACAAAACAAAAACAACAACAACAAAAAAAAAAAAACGAACTATTCGAGACTGCGGAGACGACGAAAAATGACGGGAAAAAATATGAAAAGAATCACACACATACACGAGAGCAGCGGCAGCATCTCTATGGCGTCAGCAGCATAGAGTAATATAGTAAACGTAAAGAGAGGACACTGAAGCCGATTCGCGGCCCAGATAGTAGGATTCATACCCTCCGCTACGTGGCGCTTTTCCGTAATTTGGTTAATATTAATTACAGCTTTCTCTCTGAAAAGTATTTATTTTCTAAATTTTTATGCTTTAGAGTTTTTTAAAGTACTTAAAACGACTAAATAGTGTTAATCGAATACGTCACAAAAACCACGTGATGAATGGCGCCTGCCATGGCCTGTCTGCTTGCACGCCGTCACCTCTGCTCGTCCGTGCGGTCCGTGCTTCGTTCGTCCGTGCCGTACCGTCCGTGCCGTCCGTGCCGTTCTTCTCCGTTTTATGCTACAGCGTGTTCGGTCGACTTTGCTTGAAACAAAGTGACGAATGACCGCCGCGTGCTCTCATGCTCGGCGTGAGTTTGTAGAGCTGAGCGGCTTGATATGGCTTGAGCTTCTCGTGTTTCCGTCGGGCTGCCTGGACCTAGATTTTTAAACAAAAGGTAAGTCGTTTTGCTCATTTGTCTCTCGACTGTGTTGTAAAGCTGGCTTTTGAATTTGCTGAGTCTGGGTTGCCGTCCGACGCCCCTCGGGCAGAGCTTTGTTCATGCGTGTTCAAGTGCCATCAGACATCTGTGGATTGCTGTTGAGAGGACTTATGCCGTCATAGATTGAAGTTAATTCACTGACTAAAGCTGGGTCGACAGTCGTTCGCAGTGCGACGAATTCGGGGCAAGGTGTCCATTGAGTCATATTGATATTTTGACATGCATTCTTTCAATGGCGCGTCGCTGCTTTGATTTATCACATAAAGTACGTGCAAAAGAAGCGAAACAGCGAACGTCGCTCAAGCGAGCTACATGACTTGTGTGTACTGCCATACGAGCTGCAGTATGCTGCAGTTACGACGACAAACACATGCATAGAATTTCGGGGGAAAAAAACTGCGAGACGCAGTATCAAATTTAGATATTTAATAAAGTTCCCAAGCAGCATATATATCCTATGGACGTCCACGGGACATCCAGGATAGGACATCCATGGAACTTTCGGACACTCTGAGAATGTACGGAGGACTATTCAAACATGGTTCCCACTACATCGCTACATCACCAAATGGAGCTCGAAATTTAGGTCTATGGTTCGCTGACATTATTTTCTATGTAAGAAAGCAAAATTCAAAATATTGACGGCCAATTTACCAGAAACAGTAGAGGTAGATTAGTCTTACTTATTTTGGCCGTACCGCTGTACTATGCTTAAATTCCTGTTTTACTCTTAAGGATGACATTCGAACGTTGGGTAAAACCAGTCAGACGTCACTTGAACACTTGGTTGGAGTGCTGTGGCATGGCACTCTAGACACTGCGTTCGATTATGATGCATGAAGATTGCGTAAACTTCACAAACTTCACAATATTTCTTTCACCCGTCTGTGTTAATACGTGTCATGGGTTTATTGTAACATTGCGTCATGGCAATATCTTGTGACATTGTTTAAATTTCCATCAGTTTATTTTTTCACCAGCCGCTATTGTGCTACCTTCCGTTGAACTAAAGGAACGCGCCATTGGCTAGGCTTCAGTAGATGTTAAACTCTCCCTCCCCCGCTGGCCCAGATTATGTCCTACGGAAGCTACTGCTGCGTGGTCTGGTGTGCCAACAATGGCAAAACAAAGAAGCCACATGTCAAGTTTTTTCGAATTCCACGTGACCCAAGGTACGTATAGATTCTAAGGCAGTCCTTACAACATTTGATCGAAGCATAACATTTTGAAATGAGAACTATGGTCCGTTGCAACCTAAGAACGAAGGGCGAGGGTAAGACGGGCCGGGGAGGAGGAAGCAGACGGAACACGAAACGCTAAGGAGAGAAGGAGGTTTCCCCTTTCTTCTCCAGCGTTCCGTCTGCTCCCTCCTCCCCGGCCCGTCTTACCCTCGCCCTTCGGTCTTAGGTTGCAACAAACTATAGCAAAAACGATTTCTTCCATGTCACTTTGGTTTATGGACACCAATATCTTTCAGCATTTTAAGGTTATCTTGCCTCGGGCCTAAATTGATTGCATACCCTGGTGGGTATGCAATCTGTTTGTTTAGCTGTATTGCACTGTACAGTAGCATGAAGAAGAAAAACAAACTCTTCAGAACGTGAACACTTTGCTGAGAGGTGCCATACCAAACGGCAGTGAAACATTAAAAACAATTGAGGCTCATATATTTGGAGTTTATTTGACCCTTACAGTATGTGTAACCTTGGTGGTATATACAATGTTCTGCAGGTCAAAAGCATGGCTACAGTACGCCAGACGTCCTGAGCTCCTAGGAAAGACAGCCAAGGAGCTCTATGAGGGGTATCGCCTGTGTAGTGAGCATTTCACAGCCAAGGACTTTTTGGATCCTGGGAAGACAAGGCTGACCAAAACGGCTATCCCTACGGTTCGGCCGCAAATGCTTAGGCCATCTGTAACAGCCCAAGGTAACATAATCTTTATTTGCAGTCTGTACGGAGTTCTGTTATATTTTGCTTTTAGGCAGCACCAACTCTACGTCACTGATGCCAGCTGCCAGCATGCTGTCAACGATGTTTGACAGTCTCAAAAGTTTTAATCTGATTTAATTAGTTTTTATTATTAGTTTGTGCTTAAATATTTTATCTAATTCATTTAGCATTTTTGTACATTATCCCTGTAATGTCCCTGCGCATACTGTTGCCCATAACCAATATCCGTCCCAGTTTGTTGGAAAATTGTTTTAAAGCACAAGGTTAGCTGCATTGAAATACAGTAATTTGTGTCCTGCAATCAAGAAGGGCAGTTCTGCCAGTGCAGTATGACTTCTTACAGGGCATCCTAGGTTTGTAGCATACAATAGTGATATAAATGAAAGATAAGGCAGGTCAACGTTCCCCTGTTCATATCCAATTCGACAAGAGGACTCATGCCGTCTGAGTCATCTTCCTGACACTCATGTTTACAAGGTTAGCTTTAGTTGCCCATGCTGTTATGTTCTCATACATTAGCATACCGGGCCGTTAAAATTTAAGATATTCCGAGATTCCTAAGTGCCTTTTCAAGACCCGCCGGATCCTGTGTTTCGCCATTGATTAATATTGCTCAACATTAATTTTCATCACTAAGGGATTTCAATGCCCTTTCAGAGTGCTGAATATTTTCTGTTCCTTTGAAAGGTAACACTACTAACCTATCATTCGCCTGTAGCAGGAATTCTCCATCAGAAGCTTTATAAGCAGGTATTCATATCTGAGAAGCCAAAATTTTTCAGAAGAACCGGTGGCAACAACATGCCCCTGTGACGTTCCATTGGAGGGAAACAGAATGTCGCATCCCACAGCAGCTTATGGTGAGATTATTTATTTTTAATTGGCGGCTCATATCTGACAAGGAAGCCCTTTTCAGAAAAGCCAATAGCGGAACCAAGCCCCGGGGATGTTCGATTGGAGGGCAGCAGAACGTCGCCTTCAACAGCTGCTCATGGTGAGATCATTTATTTTAAAACAGGGGCTCATACCTGACAAGCAAACATCTTTCAGAAGGACCGATGGTGGCACCAAGCCCCGGGAATGTTCCATTGGAGGGTAGTGGAACGTCACCTTTGGCAGCTGCTCATAGTGAGATCATTTCTTTTAAAACTGCTGCTCATATCTGACAAGCAACCGTTTTTCAGAACAACCGCTGACGGCACCAAGCCCCGGTAATGTTCCCTTGGAGGGCAGTGGAATGTCACCTTCAACAGCTGCTCGTGGTGAGATCATTTATTTTAAAACAGGGGCTCATACCTGACAAGCAAATGTCGTTCAGAAGGGCCGATGGCGGCACCAAGCCCAGGGAATGTTCCAATGGAAAGCAGCGGAACGTCACCCTTGGCAGCTGTTCATGGTGAGATCATTTCTTTTAAAACAGCTGCTCATAGCTGACAACCAAACATTTGTCAGAAGAACCGGTGGCGACATGTCCCTGTGACGTTCCATTGGAGGGAAGCAGAACGTCGCATCCCACAGCAGCTTCTGGTGAGATTATTTATTTTAAATGAGCGGCTCATATCTGACAAGGAAGCCCTTTTCAGAAAAGCCGATGGCGGAACCAAGCCCCAGGGATGTTCGATTGGAGGGCAGTGGAACGTCAACTTTGGCAGCTGCTCATGGTGAGATCATTTCTTTTAAAACAGCTGCTCATATCTGACAAGCAACCGTTTTTCAGAACAACCGCTGGCGGCACCAAGCCCCAGTAATGTTCCCTTGGAGGGCAGTGGAATGTCACCTTCAACAGCTGCTCGTGGTGAGATCATTTATTTTTAAAACAGGGGCTCATACCTGACAAGCAAATGTCGTTCAGAAGGGCCGATGGCGGCACCAAGCCCAGGGAATGTTCCAATGGAAAGCAGCGGAACGTCACCTTTGGCAGCTGTTCATGGTGAGATCATTTCTTTTAAAACAGCTGCTCATAGCTGACAACCAAACATTTGTCAGAAGAACCGGTGGCGACATGTCCCTGTGACGTTCCATTGGAGGGAAGCAGAACGTCGCATCCCACAGCAGCTTCTGGTGAGATTATTTATTTTAAATGAGCGGCTCATATCTGACAAGGAAGCCCTTTTTAGAAAAGCCGATGGCGGAACCAAGCCCCGGGGATGTTCGAATGGAAGGCAGTGGAACATCACCTTCGGCAGCTGCTCATGGTGAGATAATTTCTTTTAAAACAGCTGCTCATATCTGACAAGCAACCGTTTTTCAGAACAACCGATGGCGACAAGCCCCTGTGGTATTTCACTGGAGGGTACCAGCGCGTCACATTCCATAGCGGCCTGTGGTAAAATAAATCTCCTACACAAATTGGGTTTATGCAAACATTCGTATTTAACAGTGACACATTTTCCAGAGCAAATGGGGATGGCCAGCTCTCCTGGCCAGCTTTTGGACCACAGCACTCCATCTTCGTCTGTTGGCTATTCTGAATCATCTGGAACCTGTGAGTATAAATTGACTTCTCTACAGATTTAAGCACTGCAAAATTGTGTTAAGTACCTCTGCATTTAGTATGCACATTGCTTCAAATTAGGTGACATTATTTGTCACTTCATTTTTGTGCTGGCCTTAATAACTTGGAACATCACTACAGGGCTCTAGGTGACGGGGAACATAAGCTTTGAAGTGTGGCACCGTGAAATGCTCTGAAAAGGGGTGGTTTCCTAGTAATCTGTGCTTACTGTAGTAATTTGCCAATCCTGTTACATACAGTTTTCATTTTGGATGACCCTGTTGAACGTAGTGATTGACTACGCGATTATTCAATATTTGAAAGATTCATCAATTTATGTTAATACAGTTTTTGTGGTGAAATTATTGCAGCTGAAAGACTAAAAGCTAGTTTATTTTTTTTTCTGATAGCAGCCATTTGTGTATAAACAGTGGTAACAGAACATGCGGAGCAAATGCCCACTCACAATTTGGAGATAATCATGAAAAACGCAGAGATGTATGCTTCTTATGCCCGAAAGCAAAATTGCAGAACAGCCAAAGGTTGGGGGGAAGGGGGTCACCACTTTGGAGGCCCGTGCACGTGTCGAGCTTCACCTTTTACATTGGTGTGCTTGGAGAAGCAGCTGAAGCGGGTGAGCATTTATGTTAGGTGGGTGGGTTTTTAAGTCTGGAGTTGGACATTGATACGTGCTTTGTTTATTTCGCAAACGTTTCGAAAGTGGCGGGGGGGGGGGGGGGGGGGAAGGGGGCACATACTGCAGCATGGGTAAGTGGTCGGTATTCGGCGGTATCGTTTCTGTCGGGTTCTACTTTTATCATTTTTGTGTAGCCTGACTTATGTGCTTTCGGTATTGTTTTGGCAGGCTCTGGTCGTTCAACACCTGCTTCCGCCAAGCTCTCAAGGAGGCCCAGGGACGTCATAAAACGCCTACAAGCAAAGGTTTCCAGTTACAGAAAGACAATATCAAGACTGCGCAAGCAACAGAAGCAAATGCCTCAAACAGCTGCCGAAGCACTTGAAATGGTGCGTCCGTTTGTGACAGACGAGGTTTTCGGACTTATCTCGTCACATGTAAAATTAGGGCGCAAGGGACGAGGAAAACGGTTTCCACTGTGGCTCAAGAAGTTTGCTTTGCATCTGAACTTTCATGGCCCACAGGCATACCGTTTTCTATCGTTACATTTAACGCTTCCCACTCAGCGTTCACTGCGTAGGTGGCTGTCGAACGTAAAAATGACTCCTGGTATTATACCTGGTGTCATGTCCTCCATCGAATCTCAAACGCGGTCTTGGAATGCACGTGATCGTGTCTGCACCTTGATTTTTGATGAGATTGTTTTGAAGAAGAACTTGACATACGACTCTGCACACGACATTATCCATGGATTTACAGATGACGGTGTTGAACGAACCTCGACCATTGCAGATAGAGCCCTGGTTGTTGTGCTCTCTGGAATTTCCAGGAGGTGGGTTCAGCCCCTCGCATACACTGTTGGGCACACTTCAACACCGTCTTCTGTTATCCGGAGCCTCCTGATTTCTCTCATTCGAGAGCTTAAGACTGTTGACTTCACTGTGAAGGCCGTGGTCTGTGATCAGGGGGCTTCAAACGTAAGCTTAGCCAACCAACTTGGTGTATCTGCTGATAAGCCATTTTTTGAAGTCGACAACGAACGTGTTTACTTTATCTTTGATGTTCCGCACCTCATCAAAACAACAAGAAACAATCTCCAAGCCCACAAACTTTGCATTGGGGATGAGGTCATTGAATGGTCCCATATTGTTGAACTTTATCGTTCTACTCATGAGATGAGGTTGCGATTGGCTCCAAAACTTACTGAGAGGCACATTTTTCAAAAACCTTTCAGTAACATGAAAGTAAAGCGTGCCACACAGGTCCTGAGTGCCTCAGTCTGTCTTGCCATTCTATCCCTTGTTTATGCCAAGGAGCTTCCTGAGGCAGCCATGGCTACAGCCTATTTTTGTGATAGAATGGACAGACTTTTTGATTGTTTAAATAGCTCGCAATTCAAGAAGACGGGGCAGAAGTTGCGTCATGCAATTTTGAAAGGAGAATCTGAGATACTCGATTTCCTTCACCAACAACTCGCATGGATTTCAACATGGAAGTTCCAAAGTAGGAGGCAGCCACAAACCACCATAGGGTGGCAAGTTACAATAAGGAGTGTCCTCATGCTCTGGGATGAGCTTTCAAACAGCTATGACTTTAAATTCTTACTTACTCGACGCCTGCAGCAAGACCCACTGGAGAACATTTTTGGGGCAATAAGACAAATGCTGGGCTGCAATACAAACCCAAATGTGAATCAGTTCACCTCGGGACTGAAACACATCGGGATAAAAAAACTGTTCAGACTCTCTAACAATGGAAATGTAGAGGATGAAAAGGCTGACCTCCTCAAGGAGTTGCCAATATTTTCGCACCATGAAAGTTCCATTGCAGACAATGTGGAATGTTTTCCAGTTGATAACTTCCCGCCACTAGAAGATATTTCTGAGCTGGCATCAGACATCAGGTCTAATATAATTGACGACTCGTGCACTTACTACGTTGGAGGCTATTTGATCAAACTTTTCCTTGAACAGACAACCCGCAGCTGTGGCTGTTCTAAGCTGCTAAAGGATGAGTCTGACAACTTGACCAGGCCTCACCAGTATTTTCTTATGCTTAAAGCATACCACGTGCCTGGGAAACTCTTCGGAAACCTAGTAGTACCATCACAGGCTGCCTTTAACTTTATTCAGAAACTAGAAAATCACTTTCTTGCCGTAATAGAGAGTGTAGCGCATGTTAGAGGAGTGTGTGCTGCCTTGTATCACACACTCTCAGAGCTGGGTGGCTTCAGCCTTTGCTCAGAGGAGTGTCACAAAAGGTTTTTAAAAATGTTTTGCCGAATACGCTTGTGTTGGCATGTTCGGTTCCTTAACCGGAACTTGGACAAAGTTCGGTTACACTCTTCGGTTGCTAGTAAGCAACTTGATAAGTTTAACTGTTAATAGCTTAATAGCGTATTAACAGAGGCGGTTGCCAAATCAAAAACAGAAATTGCTTATTAATTGGGCAGTGTAGCTTGCACTCCAAACATGTGTTTTCTTTATTTCCAGGAAATGTGTATCACGGCCCCCTTACACAAATATTTATCCACTTTCTGCAGAATTTCTATAGAAAATAGTTTATAGAGGCATAGATGTTTGGAAGAAAATGTGTCCACTTCTGTACCCGTCTATATTTTTTGGACGTTTTTTTTTCTGAAGTAATACTCCTGTCCTGAACAAATGTATTTCGGGGAATGTTTAGGGACGTTGAATCATGGTTGAATATCTATGGTTGAATCTTGTCAGATTCCGAATAGAGTTCTCATTGTTTTTTTTTTTTTTTTTTTTTTTTGTAATGGCTCACCCGCAGCGAGTTTCAGGCTATGCCATTTCGTGTGTTTTATATTAGCCGGTAATTTGGAATTTGTACTATCCGGTGTGTGCTTCGCCTGGTAATGATAGCGATGTCTTGTTTATTTCTGCACTTACTTACCGTGCCCGAGTCGGCGTGAAGGTGAATGGATCATTCAGCATGTTCCCTGTGGAAAGCTTTTGTAAACTTGGCTCCGCTAAAAATCTATTACGAAGTGTACGATATGCCGAACTCCTTCATACTCATTTATTTTTGTGATTATCTATTTCTTATAAAACATACAGAGCTTCTGAAGTAAATAATGTACATATGAATGTGGTCCAATAAAATGTTTTCAAACCACTTACTGTTGTTGACCCCAAAACCTCCCAAAATGCTCCACCAGCCAGGAGTCAATGTGGCGATTATGTACTTCAATCTGTTCAATAAGTTGAACTTTTATTCGACACATTACACATTTTGCAAAACTTATATCGTATATTGCAAAACTTATAACATAAAAACAACAACAAAAAAAAGAATCATCGGCTCCGGAGCCAAGGAGCTCCCGAGAGCCTAGCGAGGAGGGAGGCGAGAAGGAAAGAAAGAGAGAAAAAGAGAAGGAGAAGGGTACCAAAAAACCAAAACAAAAATGCCCAAACCGAAACCAAAACTAACTTGACCGGAACCGGAACCAGATTGTGTTTCATACCGTCCGCTAAGAGCGCTAGTGTCACTGCTCTATCTGGGCCGCTGGGGCCTATGGCAGTGTCCGCTCTTTACCTTGTGTATATTACTCTATGTCAGCAGTGCGGGGAACTTAACGTCGTCAACCCCTCTCTTGCTCATGTGCGCTCCCTGCTGCGATGACTGGATTTTTTTTCGGTTCCCTTCCCTTCTGAAAGTCTCAGCGTTCCTTTTTACACCGCCAGCAGCTCACACACAACGCAAATTTACCAGAATCGGGAGCCCGTGCGAGTGAAGAAAACGTCGCAGCCGACAGGCCCATTCGCAAAGTGTGGGGAGGTGCGGGACTGCAAGTAGCCCCGCGGTTACGGGGATACTCATAAATATAAAGTTGGTACGTTCAACCTTGGTAGCGCGTTGTATATTACGTTTCTATTATATACATAATGAATTGTACAAGACTGCGCTTTTAGAACATATATTAATGTTGGATAAACGCTCACGAACACCACCGCGCGTTTCTTTCACGTCGATGTGAGAGATTTCCTCACGTCGTTGCGCCATGTGCTTCCTTCTCCGACATTGTGACGTAACCACTCGGAGCGTCACAGCCTTCTTTTCTATGAGGTGTTGCGCAAGCACGCCGCCGACGAAAGAAGGGAGCGGGAGAGCGGCGTGCATGCTTTCGCATTCACAACCCGTAGGTGCTTAGGTATACTTCGAGCCTTTTTGAATGGTTTCTGGCTCGATAGCTCATACAGAGGCGTCGTCTGTCAAGCTTGATGCGTTGAAATATCTCCGCAATTCGCCGCGGATGATGGTGAGGATGGGTTGCGGGAGGTTCATGTTGAAAACGGGGCTAAGGGAAACTTCAGAAAAGCTTTCGAAGGGCGCTTTGTTGATGCGAGAGCTCTGCATCTCTTCATACGTTTTACAATCCATATGGGTCGCTGTACGGTCGCGGGTGTTTTCAGGTCTGCAACAAAGAAACGTTCCTGGGAAAGACCTTTAAATAGGTGCCGGATCTTAACCTCCTCGGACATTTGCTCATCAACTCGTCGGAAGAGACGAAGGACGTCTTCGACGTAACTTGTGGAAGTCTCAGTTGCAGCTTGGAAGCGGTGTTGCAGGGACAGAACGAGCGGGTTGGTATGGATAGTAAACTTGAGGAAGAAAACCTTTCTCCGTCCTTTCTCGTTTTCTTCCTCAAGTTTACGGTGTTGCAGCTTTTCTTTTGTCTGTGTTTTGCGGCTCTCCGGCTTCCGGAACGCTTCTGAAAATTATGTTTTGAAGCCATGCAACGAGTTGATGTCGTCGTCGTGGTCATCAAACCACTGAAAAACTGTGTCCTTTAGAAAGAACACCACGTTCGCCGGCTTATTGGAGTCTTCCTAACGGTTATGGCCTCTTACGTGGTCGTAGTGTTTCAGCCAGTCATCGACGTTGCCTGGAGGGCAGCCGCTGAAGGTTGGAGGGTTCGGCTGGCGGTCCTTCACGTAGTTGGGAGGCGGCCCGCGAGGGTTCACCTGATGTAGTTTGCTGTTCGTCTGGCATGGCGACGGTAGTAGCGCGCCCGCTCCGAAGCCCCGGAGCACGCCTTGGGGTAGCCAACCTTGAAAAGGTAGAGGAACTTAGCACCTCTACCACTTGTGGGGGTGTTTAATGAGGTTTTTACAACGGTAATGAATGGCCAAAAGGAAACAGGTCCGACGGTTGAGTGTAATCCAAATCTCTGCCTCGGTCGACCCTGCGCGTGCCTGCTCCCGTTCCGACAGTTCTGCTTTATCTTCCCCACAATATATATATATATATGTATACCCAAGCGGCACAAGAATATTAGCCGAGTATCTACACAATATTGTTGGTAAATACTCCGAATATACGGTTCTTCCCATCCACGCGATGTCCAGACGATATTGTTTCAAAAGCGGGGCAGTACCAGCACAATATCACTGGAGTACTGCCATCGTCGGCTGTGTACCCACCGTACGTCGAGTATATATATAGAGTACTAGCAGCGTCGGCTGGGTGCGCGCCGGATATCGCGTGTTAATCCAAAGTCAATCGAGTCGTCGGAGTACCCGCCGGATATAGCCCGTATATACATAGAGTAATTGGAGCGTCGGCTGAGTATCCACTGGGCATCGCGTGTGTCAATGGAGCTCGCGTGTCGTCTGAGCACCTACTGTGTATCGCGCGTATATCTATTGAGTACTTAGAGCGTCGGCTGAGTATCCGCCGGGCATCGCGTACGTCAATTGAGTATTGGCAGTGTCGTCTGAGCACCCGCCAGATATTGCAAGTATATCTACAGAGGACTTGGAGCGTCGGCGCTATAGTTCGTTGCAACTCAAGATGGTTCGGCGAGGGTAAGACGGGCCGGAAAGGAGGAAGCAGACGGAATGCTGGAGAAGAGAGGGGGAAACCTCCTTCGCTCTTTAGCGTTCCGTCTGCTTTCTCCTCCCCGGCCCGTCTTACTCTCGCCCTACGTTCTTAAGTTGCAACGGACTATAGATACCACCCAATTTATGTGCGACAAAAATATTTTTTTTTGCTCACGCCACCACACTCTCAAGAAAAAAGGGTGTCAAAAGGTGTATTCTTACACCCTTTGTCCCCTATAATACACCCCCAAATTTCAATTCGACATACAGCGCCCTACAGTCGAGCAGGCGGCCCCAAATTATATGAGGGGCTTGATAGCCGTGTGGTACAACTTATTAAAATAGCTAATGTACGTTTTACTGAACACTAAAAAAATAATCCGGGTTTTCTTGGCCCTACTGTAAAAACTCGGTGTTTTCTTTATGTGGTCTTTGATGCGTACTTTAGCTATTTAAAATGTTGTACCACCATGGCTATCAAGCCCCTCGTAAAGTTTCGGGCCCTGTATCTGCATGTGTGTATAATAAAGGTGCCAAAAAAGCCCGAAGCGTAATGCATTACGCTTCGGGCTTTCTTGGCACCTTTATTATACACACATGCAGATACATTGCGCACACCACAAGCATCAGCTAACATATACGTTGACCGCATACACATACAGGGCACATACAAACATCAGCCCAACGGCACACTAACCAATACCGCCTAGAAGTAAAGCCGTAGCGCTCTTCTGTGACGTCGCAACGGAAGGCCATCGGGGGCGCGCGTCGAAGCGAGGGCAACGCGCGTCGATCGACCGTCGTAGCGCGCTTTTAGTTACATACGCGTGTCTTATTAGCTAAAATGAATGCTGCACATAGCAACGGGTATAGACAACATTTTATTACACGGGCAAAGAATTACACCGTTAAATAATCTGTACGCAATCGCACGAGGTACGCGTATAAGACGGCTACAGAAAAATGTGATTGTTTTAAGTTAAAAACATTGAGTCACACAATTATTGCTGTAGGAATGCATGTTTTGTACACAAATACTTCAACAAAATGGCGAGACACGCAGTGATTGGACACAGCAAAACAGATCACAATTAAAAATCAGGTGACGTAGTCCACGCGGACACGACTAGACAAGTGTCACGATGATGTAAGTGACTGTTCTCGCGTGCAGTCACTGAATTCTTGCATTATACCCCGGACACATGACAAAATTAATGTAATTTCAATAGAATGATATTATGGGGTCGACAAATCAACCTGCGACGCTCGTATAATCAAATCACTCCAGACCGCCAAATGATTAGATCTTATATCATTTATTGAAGATACGTTAACATTTCCGTGTTGCAGGGGTACTAAACTTACTATTTAGTCAACTAATTTGCTTCTTCCTATGGGCTCGAGGTGCCTTAGAACAAAATATAACTTATTTTGTATCACAATAATACTACTACCATATTACAGTTAAGATCCTAATATAAACGTAGTAAAGGCAATAAAGTAACATTAGTATAAATAAACACATAAGCACCAACAACGCACTTTCAATGAACACAAACTTGTTGTTCACGTTC